GGGGTGGTTTGGCCATGTATACTTGCCCTATTTCTCTACTCTCACACCATTTTTTCCTTTGGTAGCATTGTTTGCTTACTTCTTTTTACTCTATACTGCCCATCATTCCCATCTCATCCCCTTCCTTCTTTCTCTTTTGCTTTTCACCTTATTTCCTCCTTTTCTCAGTGTCAGCAAGAAACTTCCCTTCCTCCCTCTTTCCATTCTTTCAACTTCTATCTTAATTCTATTTCCATTTTCCTGTTCAGTTCTGTGATTCCCTTTTCTTTCCTTATAATTTTCATTTTTATTCTTCATTTGCATCCTCCTCTATTCTTATTCCTCACTCTGAAGAGTAATAACCTCCTGTCTAAGCCAACTGTAAAACAAAGGCAGAAGCTCTGTTCAACCAATGCATGTGAATGATGAGAAAACTCTGTATTTTCCCCTCTCATTTCTGCAGTAGAAACTGCTGTGATTGGAAAGATGATTTAGGACAGAGTAACCAAACCCTTTAAACTGAGACTGGGTTTGGTTTAGAGACACACTGTCATTTGTCCATGGAATACTTCAGAAAGTATTTTAGCACCTTTATCAATATCTGTATTGCAGAAAATACTAAAATCAAATAAACTAAAACCTGGGTTTGCTGCTTTTTTTTTGCCAGGTAGTGCTGTTGCTGATGGAGTGCATGACGTAAGGGCAAGAGTGGCTTCTGCTTCTTCTTCTTCTTGCTTTTGAATTTCTTTTTTTTCTTCTACCTTTTTTGTAAAGTATTCACTGAGGGAAAAGGCATAAAGATTAGTGGCTCAAAATACTGTTAGACACGTGACAAGTAGACACAGGATACAGGCTGAAGAACATGCTAAGAGATGGATTAAGGACACCTAGTTGAGCTTCTGCCATAGATTCATTGTGTGAAGCTGGAGAAGTCAATAAATGACATTATTTTTTGGTAGTCATCTGCAGTGTTGGTTAAACAAAAAGAACCACAAGCAAGTATTATAAACCTTAACACACGCTTTTCAAATCACACTGGTTTGAAAGTCAGCTCTGTGCAAACAATCTTAGCGTGAAGGATGTATTTGCTTTGCATGGGTAGTAACAGATCCTGTCATAACTTCATGACATACAACCGCTTGGCCTAGGTTGCTAATCCAATAGGTCAGTTGTACACTGGTTATCTAAGTGGCTGCAAGCTCAGAAGTGGCTGAATTTCAATTACATGCATGAAGTGGAAACTGCATACGTGGGTCACAGTCACCCAATTCAGGCAAACTGAGTATGTAAGATAGATAAAGTCATGTAAATCAAGCATTAAAATCTTATTTAGATTCACTTCAGTTGGAAGAATTTCTTTGCAACTGAGTCCTTATTCCCCTCATCAAGGTTTCCCCAAAGCTAATCCACGAGGAAGGCAGTTAGGTCTGTTTGCTACACTCTGTGTTAGGTGTGGCAGCCCAACCGCTATGCCTACAGCACATTGTCATTCCCTCAGTGATGTAGCTGAAAGAAACACTTCCAACTACAGAAGAGGATGACAGGCCATATTACTGCTTCCAGGGTGAAGAAAGCTATAATGTTGCCAGGTAGCTCCTCTAATGTTACTGTAAAAATACATTCAGGTACATGTGATACTTTTACCTTACTTTTTTTTTCTTAGAAAAACCAGACATATTTCTTTGAATGGAGAAATATGGCCATTCTTTTTTACTTTGGGATGCTCCCAAGACGAAATATTTGTATGAAAAAATTAACATGGATGTTTACTAAAGAAACTATGTTTCCAAAGAAACTAATTGCGCTAAGTAAGAAGCCTTTTTGAGTAGCTTGCTCAGAAAGAAGACTCCACCAGAACCTGAAAACTGTATGTGTACATATGCTTTCTGTGGATTAGCTCAATGCAGAAGACACACTCACAGGCCTTTCGTACTACTTTTGTTCTGCAGTGCAATGAACAGAAGTGGAGTCGCAGTCTGAAAAAACATCCCCACTGAATTAAACTGGCACTGAAGGAGATTCTTAAATGGAGCCTTTGACTCATGAACGTGTTCAGGCATTTTTTTCTGAGAGACCCTTATTTTTGTATCCCATGTATGAAACCTTGTAAAAAACAGCATGATTTTCGTATCATAATTATGAAAAAAGCAGGAAATAATATAGTGCAATGTATCTGAGATAGACATCACATCCTAAAAATATAAAAAAATACTAGAAAACATTGAATATTCTGTATGTTTTTCATTTACAATATGAATGAACGGTGTATATTTCAAATGTAATAATTTGCATAATATGAAAGACCTACCCAAGCATCTTATCAACTGTACACTGGTCAGTAGGCTTCAAGTCTCTTAACATTGTGTTCAGTGATTCATTCACCCATTCCACAGCAGTGTTAACAGAGTCACTTCTTTCTTTCTCATCAGCTTCAGTTGTTTCAGGTAAAGCATTTTCAGGTATTTGAGAATGAGAAGACATTACAGTGGAACAAATCCTCTGCAAAAAAATGTAAAAAGGCTTAAAACACTATTTAATTTCTAACTTGGAAATGTCATTTGAAAGACTAAGAAGTGTATGTCCTTACCAACTCTACAAGTACCTATCTCCAAATCTACTCTTTGCTCCACTTACTTATCTTTTTTCATCCAGCATCTTCTTCCTAGTATCTTATACTTTGGTAATCACAGATGTTATTCAAGTTTCTTGATCTAATTATAACTACTTAGGCAAAAACCTCCTGACAGATCTGCTTTATACATATATTTTGTTATCAGAATAGAATGGAGTTATTTTAAAGACCACACGGTCATTATGACATCTTTTATTGCAGCTGTTGGTAGCCTGTTGTACCATGATTCATCAGCATTCATGCTTAATGCCATCCCTCATGATCCGTTACATTTTCTCTTACTTAGGTAATTTAAACATATCTTTCTGTACTGCTGAAGGATAAACGATTCTTAAGAAAATTCACTTAATGAAGACATAATTTACAAATATCACAGAGTTGCCTGCATTAACAGTATTAACTTTACATGCAGTGAATATCTATGAAATTATATTTAATTCAAGAATGAAGTGAACCATAGTTTAACTGAGGGAAAGTATAAATAATTACTCCACAATAGCTAGAGTTGCAAAGACAGTATCTTGAATATTTCAGGTTTGAGGAGAGATGGCAATGCACCATCAGTTTTGCATTGCAGGTGCTAGATGGATATGTTTGACTTAAGTATCACCCACATCAGCCTATTAGCTCAGTGTAAAAAAGCGCTTTCACCTATACTGTGTTTTTCACCTGTACTATATTTTTCTGAAACACTGTCATACAAATAGAAATATAAGGATCTGAAAATAAAAAAAGAAAAATGTAAAAGGAAAATGAACTTACAGGCCTAGATATGGAGTGTAAGGAAAAACTACATGATCATGAAGACAGACAAAAATTTAATATACAAAGATGCACTGTCACATCATAAAATAAAGACAAGTATTGTCTAATTCATGGAAAATAAAGTTTTTATAGTTGCTGCCACCGCCTAACTTTTCATGACAGCTTTTTTTCTAAGTTACACTATTTACTCAACTGTTGAGTCACAGGAATTCATATCCTTTCATTAAAGATGGACAACAAAATGTTCCTTACAATGTGGCACAATAGTACCTCTCCCTGATACTGTCTTACTAAAATAAATAAAACAGGAAGAAGCAGCTCATACCTTCTCATAGTTTTTAACTGTACAGTATATTTCCACTTCTAATGTTGGCTGACCAACTCCATCAAGAACTTTTCTTCCAACTAATTTGCATATTACTGGAGCTTTTGAAAATTTAGAAAAGTAGTTAGCCTTAAATGAAAGAGAAAGAACTTCATTAAAAGTCAATTTCTATGCAAAGATGGTTTTTTTCCATTAAATATATTTAAAGCAAATCCATCATTGAGCAAATCCATTTCTACATCCCAGTATTCAAAATACTTCTGTTACACTGAAGATTTACTTCTGTATTATCTGCTTAAGAATGAGATTCCAGGGAACAGATCCAACTCATATCTAAGCATGGAAGTCCAAAGCCACATCCAGGTTAGATGAACGTGTGTTTTATTTGGCAAAGTTAGTGATGAGTATCAAAATCTCCTTAATCCTCCTAGAAAATAGGCATTTGTCCAAAGCTTACCTGGCTTTACACTGAATAACAAAAATAGTCATCGTGCTACTCATGAAACTCATTTCTATTAGAATTCACATAGCCTCGACCTCCCCTGTGCAGTGAGCTGCTATAAAATAATGATTTTGTCTATGGATAAGATCGTGAAAAAATACGTCTCTTCTCTCTCACAAGGAGAGAAGAAAGATCTTGGACAGGAAAAACTCTTAGAAATGCATACAGAACTCTACTAGATCCTAATGTCACATTAAAATTCCCGTAGCATGCTTTCATTAACAAGTAGTTATTAAGCTTTGAAATAATATTGTAATTTTTTTTCTCTAAAAAAAATACTAGCAACAATCTTTAACCAAAATCCTCCTGCTCAGAAAAAGTTCTCATGTGAAATGCTACACATAAAATTTTGTATGTGCTGCAGACAGGGAAAAACAAGAAGTATTTTCAGAATATACTTCTTGCTTATAGAAAGTACTTAATGTCCTAGATACCTAATAATGTTTCAAGGTTGCTTCATCAAAGACACATGTACAGCGGCTCATGTGTCTCAACACTCAACTGATGCAGTATTAAAGATCTTCATAGAGGAAGATTTAACCTGGAAGGAAGAGAAGCTTGTCATCAAGCTCCTCAATAACAATGATAACCGCTCTTTTTGTAGACTCCTCTCTTACAGAACATACTTGGTGTAAGGTTATTTAACACAATGACCAATCTCTCCTAATCAGAAGTGGTTTTTTGGTTGGACACAACGTGAGCTAACAAGGCTGGCACAATTTTAAGGAGTTGTGGGTATGCCGCATCTAGTAACAGGACACAAGACAACTGATGTAGCTAGGGGTCACTACTCCACGGAAATCTGGGATTTTAGGTTAGCAAGCTTTGAGCCCTGTGAGTAAGGTTGAAAACCTAGACTTCTGGCAGGCAGAGTTCTCTTACTTCTTCCAGTATGATCTTTAATGGGACTGTTGAACTGTCATCATCCAACTATGAGAATATATTCGGGGCCCTGTCCGTATTTAATGAACGATGTTACTTTAAAAAAAGGATTAAGTTGCTACATGAGGTTTACTACATACTTCCTTACTAGTTTCATTCTTTAGTCTGGTATTGGAAACAGCCACCAAACCGTGACTTACCAAATGGGAAAACTAGGAAACACTTATAGCTACATAGAAGAGGAACACGCCAAACACCAAGCAAAGAAAGGTGTTACCAGTTCTAGTCCCTTGCACCGGTGATGTGAAAACACTTGGAGATGGGAGACGGTATAAGATATAATGAAACGTTCCATTTCCACAGCCACTTTCACATCAGAGAACATACTAGAAATTATTTTTTTCAAGAGTTGCTCACTATTGTAGCGTTGCAAATTCCAGTGTCACCACTAATAAAGGTTTCATTAGGACTACTGTCTACAATATTTTGCCAACTGGGAACAGATAAAATTGGTCTGATTCCTGACACTTTCACTGAGGCCTATTTGCTTTCCAGGGAGAGCTGCAGTATGAATAGCACCAAGTGTCTTGTTGCCACTGGCCCGAGACATCACCATGCTGAGCAGCGGTTTTATTAGGGACGTCCATCTGTGCCTCCCAAGGCAACATACTTTGTTTTTGTGTTGAGACGAGCAACCAGCACAGGACAAAAAGCCCCGCTGCTGCAGAAATGTATCTGGCCCAGCGTCAAAGTGCCACTGGTCACAAACACAAAACCATCGCAGACCTTGCCCGAGTCAGCAGGAAATTATTTAAGCTTAATTTTAATCACAGAGACGTGGAGCTCCTCGCATCAACCTGTTGGTTTATCAAACCCTTGGGGCGGGCAAGCGGCACTGGGGCAGACAGCACTCCCCTTGCCTGAGGGCAAGCACGGAGCCCGGCGCCCACGCCGGGTACCTGGGAGAGGGCTACGGAAAGGCCCGGTACGGCGGGCAC